TGAGAGCTTGAAGTGTATGACACACTCTCACAGAAGAAAAGAAACGATTTAAAATATGTGCTATTCTCTAGTTGAGTGAGAAAAACACATATTATAATCAATACCGTTGTTTGCCCTTGAAAAACTATAAGAATCATGAATGACGGAAAGGTCACCATCATCAGTCTTGAAAAATTTGTGCAAAATGGACCATTTATTTACTTCTTGATGATGATGATGTTGTACAGTGCTATGCAAAGATTGTATTCGTCGACGGCTATGGCGCACAAACACTCTGTAACTGATACTCTTTAATGCTGAACACTGTAAGTGTAAGCCGTGTGTGTGTGTAAGTGGAATGTAGAAAAGTCCCTGTGAATTATTGCAAACCATTCTGCAAAGTTTAGCAAACAAATCAATTTTTATCTGCTTTAGTGCTTTTAATTGAATCAACGGCTGCTCTTTTTTCTATAGCAATTGTTGTCGAACGATTCGATATTGGTTTATATAGTTTTCAATGTCATTACTGATTCGATCCACTTTTCACTGACAATACCATAGCCATTTTTCCCTTCCTCTTCTGGTTTATATTATTATTTTGAGCTTGAAGTATTTCAAACCATTGTGTTTTTGAATTACGGTGATTTGATGATGAATTATTGAACTTGCACAATACACGATCAGAAAATTTCGTTTGATTTATGGTGGCGCACATGTGTGTCAAAAACTATTTCGCCCTTAATTTTAAATGATACCGTTTTTCGGATGGAAATTTCGTCGAATAGCAATAAATATTCAATTTCAGTTTAAATACTTTATCGGCATAAATTGAGATAGAGATTTAGTTTATCATTAGTTGTCCTTGATTTTATTTTTTTTATTCTTCTGTCGATGATGTTGTTGTTGCTTCCATATGAATGTATTTGACTATGCCATGTGTTTTCAATGCGACAAGGACGGCGGAAAATATGGACAAGGGCATATGTCACAAACATTCAAGCTCTCGCTCTCATTTTCCGTTTCACAAGCTTTTTTTTATTGCTTTTCATAAGTCAAACGCTGGCAAGAGTTTTCCAATTCAAAAAAATTCAAATCGCATTTTCACTATTTGCCACAGTAAAATTTGAAATATTTCTCCTTTTCGTGTAGCTTCACTGTTCATCACAAATGAAAATTCAGCTAACTGGTTGTGTGTGTATGTGGCGAAAGAGAGAGTGAAAAATATCAAGTGTGATGTTGCATACAAATCTTTATCACTGCGATTTATAAAGGCCTCAAAATCTATTTAACTCAATTTTTCGATCCATTATTATCATTCGGCTAGACACATGTGTCCAAATATTGACCATAATTTGCCATGAATCAACAGAAGTACTAGCAACAAAAAAATCGACGAAAAAAAAGATGTGCTTTGTTGATTCATCCCATTAACAATCCCATTCGCGACTCTAATTTATCCGCAAGCACGTTAATTACCGATGGTTTGATTGTGGATTGTAAATATAGAAAATGATTTTTATTTAATGAAAGCAATTTCGAGAAAAAAATATAGACCTATCGTGGTAATTGTGCGGTGGTAGCGCATGTCAGTAACAAATTAAAAGCAAACAAAGCAAACTGTCGAGAGCGAAAAAAGCAGACAAAAATAGACGAGAATTCATGTGAAATGTATATACCTAAAGGCAACCTGTTCAATCAATTAGAAATTGTAAAAATACATTGATCTTGTCGATCTGTTCGAAAAGAGCCAGGAATTTACATAATAAATGTATTACTTCTGTTTGTATGTGTTGTTTTGTTTCTCTCTCTCTCTCTCTCTCTCTCTCTCTCTCTCTCTCTCTCTTCCTCACTCGATGAGCCCAATTGAAGTTTTATAAAAAAAAAATGCATTTTATTTTCCTGTTCATGTTTTCATAGAGTGCCGCGTTGCTCAGCGAAACGATTTTGCAGCAAGCAATCATTTTGAGTCAACAAAAACATCGTTACGGTCATTATCATCATCTTTGTCTATTTTTTTCGCGCCGCCAAAATTCGCGCGCTTGCTTTTTGTTTGTTATTTGTTCGTTCTTCGCATAAATTTTTTTTTGTCGTTTTTCATTTTGTTTTTATTTTGTTTATCTGACTGACGGTGGGTTCTGTTTCGCAATCGATAATTGCGCACTTAAAAAATGTTTTGGGCGCAGACATTATATAGTCATGACACAATGCGATTAATCGATTAGGCATTTTATAAGTTTTAAAATTGAGTTTTATGACTATTTGACCGCAGGCCAGTGCAATCTTTTTTTTTTCAGGTTGCTTCGACTGAAAAATGTTGAGGATTTTTTTCGGATAGAAATTATCGATTTTGTGGTAAGGAAATGGCAAACGACAATGTACGCAGCCATCTTTGTGGTCACTTGATCAATATAAAAAACAAGAATTGGAATTCAAACAAAAGTTCGGTTGGTGTGTGATGATTGTATGTGAAATGTGACAGATTTTTTGCGGATTAAGATGCACAAAAAACACACCCGAATAAGGATATTTTTCGGGCTAAAATAATAATCATTTTATATGATACGATAATTTATGATTATAAATCGATTTCTTTGGAAATCGATTCGCTGAGCACACAAAAGTCATTGTAATTTGTAATTTATATTCGCAGAATTTGATTCTGATTCATTTATTCGATCCATCAAACGAACCAAATCGATACAATGAAAACGAATAAAAACGAACACTTCTGTGTAAATAATGAAATCAATGCAAAACAAAATTAATATATACAATCGATTGTTGGTTTGCAAATTGTGCTGACAACAGTTTGTAAGTGATTACTTGTGCGGATTTCTCGCCTTGGATCTTGGATCGTCAACATACATACACGCACATGCACATTCCAGCGTATGGTATTTATTTCAAGTCTTTTCTATAAACAATGTACCATATTCCTTTTCGTCGGACTCTGTCTCTTTTGCATCCAATTTGCTTACTCAACCGGCAAGTTTTCATGATTAGTTCAACTCGATTTAACCGTAGCTGGCTTGAAATTTGTTTGAACGATGTTGTTGTTGCCATTTTGTTGTTGTTGTACTTTCCCGTTCAATTACATGAAGCAACTCGCGCTTATTATGGTAGTTTTTGTAGAAATTTCCGGTTATATCTACAAGGAAATATCAAATCTGATTTGGTTGTGTATGTACGCATCCAGTTCAGTTCTATTGCATATACACAATGAACCATTACACGAATTACAACAACATTCTATGATATATGTATGTCTACATACATGTTTGCAGTTAATGATTTTCTCTTGTTTTCTTGTGTGTGTCTCTCTCTCTCTCTTACACACACACACACACAAACACACACACACACACACAAGAATTGTTAATTAAAATGTGTACGTCTCTGGTTTTTTGACGTGTTTATTTCTATCTCCTTTTTCAGATCAATTTTAAATGAAAAGTACACGAGCAGGAAGAAGTTTAAATCAATTGACCCGAATAACCGCCACACCGAGCGACAGAAACAAAAATGGTGTTGGTTGCCATCAAGAAGGCAAACGAAAAAAAAATCAAACAAATCGCGCAGCACAACAAAAGTAGCAACAGATCGAATAAAACGTCCTATCTAATAGCGTAAACACTAAACAGAACAATCGATATGTAAATTTTATGTGAATAATTTGTTTTCAACGGATTGCAATTAAAATAATTTATTGACTTTACCAAGCAAATATCCACAGAGACGAAGGAATTGTGAGAACGAAACAAATGTATGCATTTTGAACGAACGAGTGAGCGCTGTTAGCGCGTGAGTTCACGCCACCGATAACTGAAATGGACTCCAGTAAAATGTATATCTAAATTAATTACACACACACACAAAATATTTTTCACTTGATGACAGGTCAAAAACAATAATTACGAACAAAATGAACACAACCGATAAAGATAGATAAAGAAAGAAAGCAAGCGATAGATAGAGAAAGGGAGGGATAGAGAGAGAGAGAGAGTGCGCGCGCAAAATGGAGACTGCCAATCGATTGGATTGAATGCGATAGTGAAAATGCACAACAAGCTTAAAAAAACAACAAATGTTGCTATCCAAATTGATTGGCTCCAACGGATTTCGAAATATATCGATAACTGAGCACGTTCCGTTGGCATCACGTTCATTGCAATAAAATATTTTTTTCATTTGGAAATGGAAAAACAACAAAATTGTCGTTTTCAATATCACATAAACACAGAGTTGGTTTATTTGCAGTTAGAGAAACCGGACATGAACAATATGATGATGAGACTGATGCTCTGTATCGTTCTCAATTCTGACTCGACCCCAATATTCCGCGTGAATCACGCGCTTGCCCCTTCTCCCAGCATAAAATTCAAGAGTGAGAGACAAAAGAATAGCTCGAAACTGCCAATTATGTAAGGTAGGTAACGTTTTTTTCTTCTTCTTTGTAATTAGCATAAAGGATGCAAAATGAAAAGGTTTTCTTTCATAATTTATTATTGTTACTAAGGACCTTCGAAGTAAAGAAAATGTAAATCATAATTGCGTCGTTTTGTTTATTTATGCAATTCACACGGAAAGAGAGCGAGAGAGAGAGAGATCAATAACGTTATATCAAATATTGATGGAAGCAGTATCAGGGAAAATATAAGAAATATAGTGCAAAAATTAAAAGGCTGCATTGATTTTTGATGACACAAGCATTCATAGAGATTAGTGCGGCGTAATGCCGTTTCGAAAGAAAACTTTTAACAACAATATGCGTCAAAGATCTACCAAAGTTTGGTAACCAAACACACCATAAAAGCACTTTGAATTGATTCTTTACATTTATTTCTTTAATTAATTTCTTTTGCGCTTTGTTGAAACTCTTTTTCTTGTTACGTATTTTATTATTTTTCTTTTGATCCGTTTTTTTTTGTAAGAATTTATGGTTTTCTCCTTTTTTTTGTCGATAAATGCTTCTTTTTCTACAAACTCATTTTTCATTTAAAACTCTTAAACACAACACTCACCGTTGATTCGGTGTTTGCAAGTTCGATACCAAACGAACTATAATGGCAATTCATGAGAATCGTTCACGTGTTCCTTTTTTGTTTGTGATTCACACATATATCAATATTATCATTGGATGTGGTTGTAATTTTTGCTTTTTTGCTGCCGACGGAATTCAATATTTAGATAAAGTTAAGAACACAACAATTCTATCAAATTCTCTCGCGTTTACTGTGTTCTACGTTCTTTGTTAAATTTCTCTTTTATTTTCATGTGTTATTTCTGTCGGGCTGAAAATGAAAATACATTCATAAATTATAATTTTGTTGTTTTTGCTGCTGTTTGGGGCACAATTCAAACGGAAACGGGGGAAACAACAATGTTAGAGAATATGAAGAAACAGATGATTGAGAATGCGAGATAAAGAGCTCGAGAGAGAGAAAGAGAATGGGTGAAAACCAGAGTGACTGATCTGGATTCGCGTCGTAATACAATTGATAATTTATTTATTCGTTTTGCTGGTTGATTGTTTCTGTTTTCCGATGTGCATATATTTCTCTTTGGCGTTTAAACAAAATGTACGTTTGTAATCGCTCTTTACATGCGAATTAACACACACAGAGACTAGTGTGGATTTTATTGTCTTATATTCTTCTTATTTTCATTAAGAGAGCACATACGTACATTTATCGACGACGTCAATCAGCTTTTCTCTTGTTTTTTTTTGAAATATTATTTTCTGTTATTTTTCGATGTGATTTTTTTTTGTGTTGTTTAATATCGTGCCATTATGTATGTTCGTCAATGCATTTTTATTCCCACACTTATCGAACAACACCCTTTATTTGCTTCAATCTTTTGGCATTTTCAATAAATTCAGTTTTCGATATGATCAAACACGATTGCATTGATTAATATGGCATATACATGTATTTCGTGTAACATATTTTTTATCGCTGATTTTGTAGCTACTACCAATTGGAATATGATCTTCTTCGATTTGTTTGTCCTTTTGCCACCACCATTACGGTTGCTGTCAACCGACTTTTTTTTTACTTGCCGTCATCAATGTTTATTGTCGTGCGCAAGTTGCTTAATCATTTTAATGAATGATCGCTGTTTGTATCGAAGGGTTTGATTAGATGGTTTCCATGCGCGCTATATTTATACATTTTAAGCGTGAAAGCGAACAAAAATAAATGTAATATGAATGGCATAGACACAGCTGCACGCCAATGCAAACAGCTATTTGAAGTCCTTTAATTATGTTTTTATAAAGGCAATCATTTCGCTTCAATTAACTTGAATCGATTTCTATGTTTGTCTTATCTTTTGTCATTTATCCAATCCTGTGTGTGTGTTTTGTTTTGTTTTCTTGTGTGTTTGTCGGTGTCATTGGTTTATCTAGTGACAATTGTCTGTTTTCATGATGACCTTTTGAAAACTCAACCATGTAGCAGATAGATATATCTCAGTCAGTTTAATTTGTGTATTGGTGAATGCGAATGCGTTTTTTATTTGTCTATTTTTTTCATATTCGTATCACTTACTCTCTACCTTGCTTTCCAACACACCGTCACGGTTCATATTATGAAAAACGCATGTGTTTGTGTGTATGTCATTATTTTAGGCCGTTTGATTGTAGAGTGTCACACATAGAGTGTGCGGAGTCTGTATAATTATTCGAGCTGAACGATAAACAAGATTTCCAAGTTCATACACGACACTATATATAAAAATATAATGTATTTTTTCTACTTTATATTTTCTTTTCTCTTTTCTCTCTCTCTCACACACTTTTTTGCTTCGAACATGTATTATTTTCATGAAATTTATTAGCAACAGCAGCCGTAACAAGACAACATTTCATGTATATTTCTCCGTTTCAGCGTGTGTCTAACGCAAAAGTGCCTTTGGCCGAAAGTCATTGGATTTGTTTTGGCGCAAGTTGTGTTTTTCATTTTGTATTTGTACAAGTTTCTTTCGCCATCACCATCACCATCTAACTATCAGCGCCAAATGTGTGCAAGTTGCAATCTTTAACCACATAATCACCGTTATTATTATTACCGATACAATCCCGAAATTATATGAAAATTTATAAAGTGGGGGGGAGGACATGCAACATAAAAAAAAACCGCCAAGCTAGACATCAGCTCATTGAATGCGATGAAACAAAAACATAGACACTCGCTACACATAAATGTATATAAAAAGAGAGAACCACGTTAAATCGAATAAAAAAGCTGCAACGACAGCAACAGAGACAAATACCTAACACAGAGATTACATACAGCAAAAACATCATTTCGTTATTGTTGTAACGTTGAAAGCGCACAAATAATTTGTGTGTGTGTGTGTGTTTTTTTTTTCGTTGTTTCTTCAAACGATTTTTTTTTCTTCGTGCGATAGGGTTTTTTGCGCTCAATTCGATTCAAGTTTGATGAAATTTCTGCACAGACCCGAGAGTTCGGGTCGAGAAGCGTATATATATGAATGTACTGTATGTTATTATTATGATCAATTAGGTCTATGATGGAGAATGTATTTATGTATATGGATTTGGTTAAATGTGTGCAATTGCCATTTTGTTAGCAAGGCAAATGGGCCTGTGTGGTGTTACAATGCGTATGTGCATTATGTTGAGTGCTTTTTTGATGTCATTGCTGATATTGCCATTGTTGGCTTGTTGGCTGTCGATGATATAGTCATTCTCGAGTACTGTAAAATGCGGATATGTAAAGTAATCTCTCTGTCTCCCGCTCTCTTGATATATTTGTGTGTGTGCGAGTGCTTGTAAATGATGTACATTGCAGTGCATATATTCATGTACATAGAGCGACAGCACGTTCTCTGTTATTCTCTGCATTCACATTGGTCGCAAACAAAAACATTGAATTGCTTTTTTAACTTGTTGGTTTTTTGCAACTACCGCAAAATGTCATGCTTTTTCTTCAAAATGGAACATTCACATCTTTTCAACTAAATATCAATCTATTATAGATGAATGAATTTTGCAAACAAGTCATAAAATCATTGAAGATAAAAAAAAACAACGAAATAGCAACAAAAATCGTTGCCCATATAATTTGACATATGGATGCTGATGTTGACTGATTCAAACACCTTTCACTTTATGTGGCCGTTTTCATCTCGAACCGTTACCAGCATATATGCATTGCGTCTTGCCCACCATATCGCATCCATGACAAACAGACAATAAATGCATTACTGTAAAATTGTCGAAGAAAGCGAGCATAGCGTTGATGAAAACAAAATTTCTTTGTAAAATTAATTATTCGATAAGAAATAAACCACACTGCATGAATGTATGGATATTTTCTTTTGGAGTGGGGGGAGTTCTTTTGTCTGAAAACTTTTTTTGCTTTGAAATTCAACATATCATAAGTCATTTGTGAGTGAATCAAAATGTTACCCAAACTCATGTAGTGTTGGTTGTGCCCTTTCATGATTTTGATTATTTCTGCTTTATATGATAATAATGTTCAATCATTGAGCTACAAAAGTGATATTTGGTTTCTTTGGTGCTTATCGTTGTTGCTTGCGTGTGATACGCACACGACATACGTCATACGAGTTTTAAAACTGATACAGTCACATTCATAGTGATTGCGTGCCGGGTACGTAAATTCAAATATATATACTTCAAGCGAAACACAAAATACCAGTAGAAATAACAGCACCAACATTTGATTTGATGGAAGATCAGAGACGAAAAACGAAATAAAAGAGCTACCAACGAGGAAATTGATAAATGCACATTGCACACACATATTATAAATATATATAGAGTGGAGCACAGTTGATGGCTTCGAGCTGCAATTGTATATGAATGATTGGGTAAATGTGCAGCACAATATTTCCCAATGTTGTGTATACTTTTATAAAAAAAAGGTTTCTTGTTGTATTTTTCTCTCTGTCTTACTTTTGGGTAAAATGTTTTTTTTTTTTCATGATTTTTATGGTCGATTTCAAAGAGAAACATCAGAAACAACGCATACAAACGCAGACACATGCGCGTCCAACACACAGCAGCAGCAGCAGCAGCTGTGTGTACAAATATTCAAAGAGTATGTTGGTGTCAATGAGATATATATCCAATCGAGTTCGGTGTGTCACGTTTTTCTTTTCATTTTCAGTGAGGCCGTATGCTATTTTTTCTTTCTTTCTCTATCTTGCATACACAGGCTCGATCAAACGTACACACGCGCATATGGTATATAAACTAAATAGAAAATTAAACTATTACATATGAAAAAGAAAAATCAAAATTGATGAAAAACAATACAAACACATGTATTCGAATACACATACAATCACAAACACATACAAAACATTCGTTTTACACAACATTTATGCGCATTCGACTTGATGTATGTTCGCGGCTTTGGAATTTGTCTATTTGCACTTTTCTACTATTTTTCTCCCTATTATTTGATTTGTAGGCACTTTGGCGTTGGTTTTCTTTGGTTCGTTAAACTATACATCGTTTTATTTTTTATTTTACTATTTGGGCACGTTTTTCTCTCGTTCTTTTATCTCTTTTTCTCAATGAAATGTATTTCAGTATGCAAGAGATTCATTGAATGACAAAATTATGACATTTTTAGACACAAAGCATTCTCGTTCACAAGTTTCGTTGCAGTGCACAACACAGTGTTATGTGTTGAATATTCGTAACAAAATTCAAACAAAAACACTTGACAAAACTTTTCGATGAACAATGTGAGGCGTTTTCCACATGCATACACACGCTCCAAAACATTTCTATTTCATTGAATGAATATGAAATAAGTAACAAACAGACAGTATTTCGTTTTAGCACAAAATGTTCGTCTATCTTCAAAAAAACAAGTAGCTGTCGACTTATGACGGATGTAGTGATAGAAATGTTTTTTTTATCATACTCTATTGAATTGAAAATACACGACAAAAATGACCAGCCAAAGAAAAATGTAAAAAAGAAGGAAAAAAATAGCTCTCATAAATATAGATATTGAAATCTACCAGACGGGCGTACACAAACACATATTACGCTAAATGTTATAATATTCCCACATTTGTAAACGTGGGATATACACAATATTGTTGCGATACGAATTTTGTCCATCAACATAATGACAATAAATATAACAAAAATAACAACAAAAAAATGTGTAACAAACGAGTCATAATGGAGAAGAGTATAAAAACGGCTGTTCAAATAAAGAAATCGATAACAACAATCACCTTATTCAAGATTTTGTGATGTATTTTGTAATTCATATTCCATCGAGAATCATATTTTCTATTCCACATTATTTTCATTACACAAAACACATCAAATAACACAATTTATTTTCATTTGTTAATGACAGAAAGTAATAATCATGATAAACGCACTGTATTTCTTTCACTGTTTCCGTTTCACTTCACTCTTTTTAGTCGCGGTTGACAATGTAAAACAAAAATCTCTATGTTCTTCAAATGTTCACATTACCTCTTTTTTTCTCTCTCTACAATTCATTTGAAATGTCGTGATTGTTTGTTGATGGTGTATATGAAATCTGTATTTATAAAAATGTTGCTGTCAACCATGTACTATTTGTTTCTACTCTCTTTATTTTACTCTCTTTCTACTCTCTTTTCGCACTGTATTTCTCTTTTGCACAAATAAATTATTCACCGTACACACATTAAAAAAAACCCGAATTTATTTGACAGAAGGGAAAAAAACACACAACAACGTGAGAAATTATAATTCGCGCGCACTATGTGGATTTCTTATAATTTTGTTAAAAAATTACGAGAATATATATTGTTGAGATTGTTTGTGTACGAAGCGCGTCTTATTCAATACTCTGTACACTTTTCGCGTGCATTTTACGATGAGCATCGTAAAAAACCTCGTTACACTTCGAATGATTTGACTCGACTGGTTGTGATGTTGTGTTTATTAAATTGGATGTCGTCGCCACTTTGCTTCTAGTGCTGCTGCTGCTGCTGTTGCTGATGTGAAGCGAAATGTGTGTTTTCATGTTATACTGTGTTTTGTGATTTGCTTTACTTTGCCATGCCTGTGCATACTACGTTGCTGTATATGTGCTCAGTAGTAGAGAGTCGTTTCTTTTTGGCTGTCAGTTGCTCGGTTTTTGCTATTTTGCTGTATAGTATTGCTGCTGTCTGCACTGTTATTGTTGTTGGTGTTGTTCCTTTCTTTCGTATGCGCATTCACTTTACGGCCCCTAGTCACTCATCATCAGGTCTTACGGTTCTCCTATTAAAGCACACCATTGCTTGAATACGTTGCTTTTAACTTAGCTCAATGTTATTTTGCCGCCGTACCGTTTTGTATTTATGTAGGTATATGAGAAGTCGTATGTCGTTAACGTGTGTATTGCGTTTTCGCTTTGGAATATCTTATCTCAACTCTGTACGTAATCGACCAAATGAGAGACAGAGACAAAGAGAGAAACATTAAACTGAGCCTTGCTGTTACCGTTTGCACCGTATATTTTTCTCAAGCTATTCACGTGTTTTAAACAGCCCGAGAAATGAAAAAAAATATATATAAAAACGAAACTATCCAACTAGTACTGTGCTCACTCATAGTTTAGTTGGTGTGCATGAGCTTCGTACGCTATACCGCATTACTGAAAAAACACACCGTGCACAAACATGAAATAAAATGATGGAAAAAAACACATGAGCAAATAATTCTTGGAGCTAGGCTTTACTTGCTTTGGAAGCAATATTATGCACCTCATCTCTCTGTGTATGCAAAACAATACTCTCTTTCGATTTACCAATATTAATGTTTTTCTTTTTATTTCAGTTGCTTGCCATACCAAATATTTTCCTCTCTCTCTTTCTCTTCCTCTCTCTATCGTGTGTGTGTATTGCTTTTTGAGACATTTTATATATCGTACGATGAAAAGTTATTCGCGTATATTTTATGCGTGCTTTTGACATTATACATTTCCCGAATGAAACTGCATATTTTCCATGCCAAAAACGATGAAACTTCATCGGTTTTTAGCAAATTTATACATATAATACTGAATGATATGCCGAGTGAATGAATGCGTGAGCAGTAACAGAGCCACAGGGAAACTCGTGTCAAACAATTGAGCCAATTACCAATTCGAAAATAGTGCATGATTGCGTCAAAATAACACACACACAAACACACACACACACACACATTCTCTCTTTCACTCACATAACCACATTCAAGACATTTTCACGAGCAAAATGGAAACAAAATTGCTTTGGTAATTTACAATAAAAATCGATGTGGATATTAATAGCGTAATTCCCATTTCCCATTTTTTTTTTCTCTTTTGAGAATATCGCATACATATTGGACAATAATGTATGAGTGTGTGTTACGGAATTTTGCTTACTCATTACAAATCAATAAATTTGAAGTTGTTGTAGATCGCACAAATGATGATTGAAATGAAATGAAATCACGCACAAAAAACCATTCAAAGAATTTGTTTTATGCAATGATAATAGAAGTGGATCAAAATCATTCACATCATGCGAAATATTGAGCATTTGTTCAAATATCATTATTATATATGTACTTTATGAATTCTTGTCAACATTGTTGAAGAAAAAATTAAGAAGAGAGCGTACAGGGTTACGCTAATGCGAAAGCATCTCACTGATAAACTTAAATTCGGTAGAAAGCGTATTCTTATCGCCTCATATGAGTGTCACACATATTTTATTTCGATTGAAAAAGCGAACGTTCGCAATTAAAAGAATTTTTTGTTTGTCAATCTTTTATTAAATTATTTAAAAAGATGATGAATTTGCCACAGTGTAAAAATGATTACTTTGTTGCTGATATACATATAGTAATACAGTATGATTATTTTAATGTGATAGCAGTTGCCGAATAAGAGATTTACGTGAATTTATTTCGTGGTTTCATTTTCTCGGTTAGTCTGTAATTTATTTTAAGCCGGATTCAATTATGTTGATTAAAAGAATATTTCGTGTCAAAGTATTGCCATAAGCTCATCATCATTCGTATTAAATACCTTGTGCTGTGCAATGAAGCCAACTGAACAAAAGAGACACCGTTGTTATTCCATATTTTTGTGTGAGTCAATTTTTCTTCTGCATACATATTTCATCTCTTTAAATTTATATTTGCGCTTCCAATTTGCATGATTGTTAAATCACATCAAAACAAAAAAAAAAAAAACTTCATATATTGTATTAATTTTTCACATGCGAATATACACATCGTAAGATTAATTCCATATGCGAAAGATAGATAAAAATCCGTTGCTTTTGAAATTCAGTCGACGATTATTGTCGTCATTGTCATTGTGGTTGTTGCCGTTTAAAATTGAGTAGTTCTCTTTTTCTTCACTCTATGTAATGCCAATTTTCATGTAAACAACCGAATGCCAAATCTATTGTATCATTTGATTGGATATTGTAAGTGAGGAAGAGTGGCAGTTGAGCGAAGAAAAAAACAAACAATTATGAAGCTTTTTCGAACGACTCTGCATAAAAATCACATTTTATTTTCAGTCGAAATTCATTGGGTTTCAATGTCTAATGATGGATTTCTATACGCTTCTTCTTTCTCTCTTTTTCTTTTGAAAATAAAACCGAAAATAAAAACCATCGATTTAAATATAAAAGCTAGGCCATCATATCGAACTTTGTTTTCATTTCAAAAATAAAGCCAGTATCCATGCAGAAAAGACGAGGGATGCAGCGAGAAAAAAAATTATTAAACAACAAACTTGATAGATTCTCCGAAAGAGCTCGGTATATTTTTGTTCAAGGCGGATTCGATAATTTACCACTCGATTATCGGTCGAGTGCGGGTGGAAAAAAAATTAGTCCATTTCGAACATTGTTTATTTTTGTTGGAAATGAAAAATGGAGCAAATTTTTCTTCAGAAACATTTTGTTTCGATGGTGCATTTATTTATTGCCTATTGTCCAAAGAGGCGAAGTACTTGATGCAAAAAAAATGCGATATTTTCCCATTGAAATGTGTTCTAATTGATTGGCTTCCAAGAAGTACGTGATACCTCTCCGATTCTCTTGGATAAAACAAATTTATTTGTTTGATTTATTTTAGTTTTATCCCGCATACAAACATGCACAGGCTTTTACCAGGCTCAATTTTTCTTTCAATTTCTCGTGCTGAAACGACCGTCAAAAGTTCTGCATTGGCAAAAAAAAGCAGAAAATTGATTGGATACATTGTTGCGCACCATGCAGCAATAGTTCAAACTTATTTGCTGCATAATATGTTTTTTTATTGCCATTTACGCAATTGTTCACTATCTATTTGATAAAAATGGTGTGTCTTTGTTTCGCGCAAGTATTTGGTAGGGCCAGCGCGTACCTACAAATTCGCAAACCTAACAAATTTTGTGTCAAGAACAACAGTGGAAAAAAAATCGGTTACATGTGACACGAGGCATGTTATGAAGACGAAACCGTAAGATTTGGTTTTGTACATTTTTGTTATTGATTTGGGCCACTTTTTCTTTGTGCATTGATATATCGTTTTCTTTCAATCGATGTTATATAATATTGAAGTTTTTTCTTTCCTTTTCTCTCTCACTCTCTCATTGTGCTTTTTTGGGGGTATTTTTCCTCCTTCGTTTATGTGTTTGTTTATTTGTTCGTTTGTTCAGTGTAAAAGGTTGTTCGACAGTTTCCACTTGGCTGTTCACAAAACCATAGGAATGAATCGACAGTCGATTAAACATTCAACTGCTGAAATTGCATACATGGGTACGGAAAAAATTTAAAGGGGGGTCAATCAGTCAATCAAAAACCCAAGCACATTGAAAGAATTTTTCTCTCGAAAACGGGATTTTTTCGGCTTTTTTGGAGATCACTTTTGTGATAGCTCAGACGATTATTAATGAGGGGGGTTATCCGGGCTTACACCTCCCCTGAGCCCATGTATGTGGCATTGCATGTACGATGCACATGAAAATCCGAAAGACTGAAAGCACGTTTAAAAATCGACCAAAACTCCCTTTCCCCCTTCTCAAAGTGGGAAGCGAGAATGGAGAAATGAAATAATAATAATAATAAAAAAATTACCAACATGGAAACAACAAAGACGGATGTACATAAAGCGCTTTCAAAGCATGAAACGAACACATACATCCTTTGAACCACGTACCATTTGAATAATGATATTATAGCACATTTAAATACAACGTTTTTAAGCCATCGAACAACAACATTGCAATTGCGGCCTAGTATGGTTCTGGATTTTCTGTTGGATTTTCGTGTGATAGTCATAAATTTTCCTGCTTCATTTGCAACACCTTGCTGCATGTTTTGTGCAGCAGACCGAAAACCATTTGGCATTTCGATTAAACTTTGTGTGCTAAAATTATCCATTATATGTACAATATAATCGATGTGACTTTGTCTTCCTTCTTCTTCTGTTGTTTCTTCTTCTACCTCTGGTGTAGCCTCAATTTTGTGTATGTGTGCATTTCATTGGTATTGTTTTTTCTATGGCCTTATTTTGGGCAGACATTGTTTGGATTCTTTATATCCTTCGGTGCGTTTTTGCATTGTGTTACAATTTACTGTTTTCGTTCGCTCTTTTTTCTCTATCACATTGTTGTTGTTGTTTTTTTGTTTTGTTTTCTCTGTTTTCGTTTGTGTTTGTTGTTATATTTTACATAATTTCTAGGCTCTTTAAATGCTTCAATGTCACCGTATTAATAGAATTCTGACACTTCGATCGTAAGAACCTTGAATTAAAAATTGATTTAGTCACTGTTATATGCATGAGCGCTAAGTACTTAATTAATATTCAAGCACACTGTCAATCCTGACTCTCTTATCGATTCAAATTGTTTCAATTTGGACATTGCAAATGTAAATTGGACGTCCAAATATATTTGACCGGGTAGAATTTGTTTTGTTTGTCATATTGAAAGCAAACCCAAGTGTTTCAGTTGTTTTGATTCGATTTAGATTTAATTATTTCGATTCGGTTTTTATTTGTATTTATTTTTTCGTCTCACTCACTCAAATTTCATTTTGAAATTTAATAATGCGATTGGTCGTTTCAGACTACACTGAATTAAGGCTATACAATTAATCCTTTTAATTGCACACAATCTTAATTATTTATTACCATGAAGAACAGAGAAAGAAACTTAAAATGATAATTGTCAATTTACTTGATTATGAATGGAAGGAATGAATGAATAAATCAATTGTGTGCGCAAAATTCAAAAGAGTGTTGATGCGATTAAA